AGGAAAGGGAGGGTCCCAGTTGATTGGAGTGTAGTAGTTTAGAGGAATTAGTTTGTTGAATGTAGTTGGTAAGGTATATGCAGGAGTGTTAATCGAGAGAATTAGGAAAGGTGCTGAGAGATTGATTGGGGAAGAACAGTGTGGATTCAGGAGAGAAAGGGGATGTGTGGATCATGTGATTGCGGTAAGACACGTGTGTGATAAGTACTTGGAGAAAGGTAGGGACACTTTTTGGGCCTTTATGGATTTAGAGAAAGTGTATTACAGGGTAGATAGAGAGGGGTTGTGGAGGGTGTTGTGACTGTATGGAATAAGTAGAAGTTTGCTGAATGCGGTGAAGAGTTTTTACATGAATAGTAGAGCATGCGTGAGAGTTGGGAATGGTATGTGTGATTGGTTTGAGGTGAATGTTGGGATACATCAATGTTGTGTAATGTCGCCATGGTTGTTTAATGTGTATATGGATGGAGTGGTAAGGGAAGTAATTTAAAGAGTATTAGACAGAGGCTTGGAACTAGTGGGTGAGGATGGAAGGTTGTGGAAATTGAGGCAGTTGCTATTTGCGGATGATACTGGACTGGAGGCTGATACTGAAAATGAATTGAATCATTTGGTGACTTAGTTTATTACTGTGTGTGAAAGAAGGAAGTTGCAGGTGAATATTGGTAATAGTAAAGTCATGAAATGCACGAGGAGTGTTAATGTTGGCAGACTGAATGTAGGAGTGAATGGGAAGTTGCTTGAAGAAGTTGAGAGTTTTAAGTATCTGGGGTCGCATGTATCAAGGAGTGGATGAGTTGATGTAGAGATAAATCACAGAGTGAAGGAAGCAAGTACATGTCTAGGTGGGTCGAAAAGTGTAATGAGAAATAGATATTTGGGAATGAATGCAAAAGAAGGATATATGAAGGTGTGATTGCGTCGACAACATTGTATGGAGCAGAGACTTGGAATGCAAGAGAGGAGGAAAGGAAGAAGTTTAATGTAATAGAGATGAGGTGTTTGAGAGGCATGACTGGTGTATCTAGAATAAATAGAGTAAGAAATGAGGATGCCAGGCAGAGAATGGGTGTTGGAATGGAACTGTCGGATAGGTTAGATTAGAGTGTTGAGATGGTTTGGACACATGGAAAGGATGAGTGATGAGCAAATAGTGAAGAGAGTGTGGAGTGCAGAAATGATTGGAGTTCGGTCAAGAGGGAGACCTAGAGTGAGATGGATGGATGGCGTGAAAAGAGCACTGAGTGCATGTGGAATGTTAGTGGAACAGGCAAGAGTGCGTGCAAGAGATAGGAATTAGTGGAGGAAGATTGCACCTGCTAACTCAGTGAAATGTGGTGGACGGGTGTGAGTGGAGTTGTCATGTGATGAAGCGGTGGGGGTAAACCAGCTGCGGCTGTTGGGCCTCATTGTAGAATGTCCTTGCCTGCCTACTTTGTAGGTGACCCAAGCAGGGTGGAAGGGGGGAGACTTGGCAACCCTTTATCCCCAAGAAGCTAGGAGGAGTGGTTGAGATATGTGTGGATCGTGCATATTTTGGTTCGGCCACCCCCCTTACAAAGGGGAATGTGGCATGTATATATGTATATGTCTTCCTATAGATCTTTCCCCTTGTGCTAATTCACCAGACAGAAGCTGCTTAGGCATACTGCGTTATTACATTTTTTCTTGAGCCCAAACATTTTCTTTCTTATTCTGAAAATTATGTTTGAAAACTGTCCTTGAATGAGGACTTCAAAACGTATGGTCTTATCTTGCCATTTGATATCTTAGATCTTGCAAAGACGTATAAGATGGAAGGTATTTAGTCGTCTCTCGTACGCTGAATATAGTGTCCAATTTTCTGCTCATAAAGAAGACTGCTGAGGATGAATACTTAATAAATCATAATTGTAGTCTTTCTTGTAAGCATTTTGTTGTCCCACGCTCACTTTGTGGGCTTCTTAGAACTTGGTGATGCTTTGTCAATTCTGACGCTTACCTTTTTATCCAGGGACACAGAGGAAGTGATTGTGGATCAGAGATTAGTAGAATGTCTACATTCCTTCAAGACGTATGTAACATTTATTTAATTCAGGCTGTCAATTATCTGTTTGTTCTTCTCTTCTTGTTTAGAAATTCAGATTTCTAGTTCACTCTCTTTCCCTTTCAGCTTTTTCTTCATTTTTCTACTTCTTTTCTGTCTTCCCCTTATGCCTCATTACATTGCTCTAAATTTCTATTTATCCAGTGTCACGCTCATTAAAAAAAATTACATTATTCAAATTAGTGGTGGTTCAATGTTCTGCACTACATTTTGTTTCAGGAGCACTTCGTATTTTATCAATTCTGTCCTTGCAATGTGAATGGAATCCACACTTGATTAAACTCGTAGTTAAGCTGGTAAAAGTTCAAAGACATGCCACGAGACTGGAGCCAAAAATACGCAATCTCAGTTATGATGAGAGGTTGAGGGAACTAGACTTAGCATTACTCGAAGCTAGAAGATTGAGGGCGGATATGGCGAAGGTTTTTAAATTCCTTCATGGTTATGACAGAGTGTATTGGGATCGATATTTTGATATGGCTGGCAC